AAAAAACTATCGTCTGATAACCCTGCTCACTGTAGTCAAAACGCTGGCGGAAACCTTTGCAAATGGGATTCCGAGCCTAGACAATCTCATCGACCCAACACAAACAGGGTTCGTAAAGGGCGAAGGATCTAGGATAATGCTTTGCTAGTTAATGACCACCTTAAACCACCACTCTACCCGATGTTCCAGCAAACGACAACGTTTTTCTTTAGAGATCACTCTCTAAGGTGGCCATCCCGACCAAAGAACCAAAACAAATGTTGAAATAAAACAGGATTTCGTCCTCCTGCAGGATCAAAAAAAGTGGTATTAAAATTTCTATCAGTTAATAGCATAGTAATAGGACCTGCTAATACTGGAAGTGAGAATAAAAGCAGAAAAGTTGTAATTAGCACAGACCAAACAAATAGAGGTAATCTATGCATGGTCATTCCTGGGCCACGCATGTTAAAAATAGTCGTAATGAAATTGATAGCACCTAATATTGAGGAAACACCCGATAAATGAAGACTAAAAATAGCTAAATCCACAGCTCCTCCAGAATGACTGGTTATACCGTTTAAAGGTGGGTAGACCGTCCACCCGGCGGGAGGCCGGTAGCACAGGTTCATGAGGCTACTAGTAGATAGTGTGGAGAATTGGCACAACGGCAATAATTGAAAATGCGATGAATTGTTGCACGACCTATTTCGTAGTTGCAACAAATTGTTATAACTTTTAAATATTTTTCCTGCAAAGATCACGACCAAATCTACCCACCCTCCAATTTTCAGATTTTTGTTCATTTTCTTCTCGTCGCGAAGGGGGTCCTTGTCCCGTTGACCCAAAATTTGTAAAGTGCCAAAAATGAAAAACATAAGCAATTGTCGCGACATTTATTTAATGTGGTAAATGATCGTTTTTCATTTTTCTGATACAGGACCTAATCTACAGATCTCAAATTTTCAGATTTGTTTCTTAATTGTTTAAGCGTCAAAAATCACCAATGTCGACGCTTGAAAATTGCAGGGCTGGACACCTACCGATCGACGGCCCCCCTAAAGACCCGCTCCTAACTCACCGGAATACCACTTTTCAGTCTCAGGTAGGGTGGTGGTTTAAGCTTACAAGACGGGACAAACACACCACAACCGTGGTCTTTATCGACTTTGAGAAAGCATATGACGTGGACTATTTATTCTTAGACCGGCGTATGAAGAAAACGAATTTTTGTTCGCATTTCTGGAGATGAGCCGGAATATTACACCAACGTTTATCCAAGTGAATGGTGTTTTAGCCCCAATAATTTCGGTTCGCTAAGGGGACCCGTCCCTTTTCCTAATTGTGATGGAAGCATTGGCAACGAACCTCCAAGTCCGCACCAACAAAGACATTAGGAAGTTGCAAATTTCCATCATCCTAGAAGAAGCAATCCCTGTCTGCTTGATGTTTGCATATGACTTGACCATCATGGTTGATGCCCCCCCCTTAAGAGTTGTTGGACCGATGCACAACGGTTTCAAACATGACAGTCAATTGGGGGAGCAAAACACTAGGATGGTGTATCCATCATCCATCATTCGGCCTGCGTCCCCCCGAATTACCACATGTCAAATGGTTACTTGAGGCGTCCCCAGTCAAGGTAGTAGGTATGATGTTGACAGCATTTAGAAAACAAGCGTCGAACAATGATTGCATCCTCAAACCCGTATTGGAAAAGATAGCCTACTGGACTGATAAGGACACATCTTTAATTGGGAGGGCTATGACAATTAACGATGCAGTGTTGGCCACACTCTGGTACAAATTTGCGATCTCGATCCTCAACAAAGAGGCGGTTAAATCACTAAAGAGGCAAGTAACGAAATTGCTATGGAGGGATAACAGCGAGCTGCCAAATCTCATCAACAGGGTGACCTGGTCGTCAGTTATTCAACCTATGGACAAATGTTGTCTGGGAATTTTGGATCCGGTTATCCAGACCGCGACACTAATGATACAATGCATCAAAAGGTTGTCGTTCACACCACACCTCCCTTGGAATACCCTTGCACTGGAACAAATTGCCCGCCTGGCCCCTCAAGCTCCATAGGGAGTGGAGCCCCTGACCTGGTTGGAGGACCGTTACTGGACCATACCACGGTGTACAGGTTTCATAGATGTTCCTAACGAGGATATCTTACCATGCATGGTGAGAGATGGTGAACAGAGACCTAAAAATTTTCAGACAATTTTGTCATGCCATTTATTTATAAGAAAACCCAAGGGGTCATTTTAACCACATTTGTCACCAATTTCATAGAGTGGACATCATACCAAAGAACACAAAATTTGGCACACAACGAGCTTGAACCGAAAAAAAACAAACAGGTATAACAAAAAAAACAACAACACGTACCATAAAATTTGACCTCCAAACCCTAATTTCAGCACCCATTAACCAAGGAGAAAGTGGGGGTCCCCCCATTAACCGCTTGTGCTTGTACCCCACCCCCCCCCAAGTTATGGAACCTCTCTCCTACAGAGCCAGATAAATAAGTCATGTGCGATTTCTATGTAAAGGTTGCATGCTTTAAATGATACTTTAGCACGAGAGATCCGAGTTTGACCATACTATGATGGCAAATATGGGAGTAGCTTTCAGAGGGACTACGAACACTCGTTGTTCGTCTGGGGAGGACGAGCGCATACAAATACGAATGCGCATGCAAACAAGGATTTACTATTTATGCACCAAATGTTGTTTATATATGTATAAACATATATGTACTTAATTTTATTCATATACATGTACGTATATGAATAGCATTGGATACCTATAGATGTAGGCAAGTGTATTTGTACACATATATCATCATATGGAACCGCCTGTGGAGTCGCACGTTGAAAGGGAGAAAAGGACAAATGAAGGGCAATCCTAGACTGTTTCGTTGGCGTTTGTTTTTTTCGCCAACTCATCCGGAGGTTGAACCCTTACAGTCTGCAGAGTCCCCTAATTGGTGACTAAGTGATAATACATCTCACCCCCCGGTTATAGTTGATCATCAACGACTGTCCCACAGGCGATTAAGCGATAATGCATCTCAACCCCGATTATTATGGCGAGCTTCTAATTCCAACAACACGTCCATTAGAAATGGGCAAGAGTTACAGACAATTGTGATCGTATGTGAAACCACCTTTCTCAAACTGCATCTTTTTTTTTTTTTTTTTTTCAAACAACACACATTGCCCCCTTCTATTATGGGCGGTGGCAGTCCGGTTGCTTATCACCAGCAAGCAGATGTACAATAGGAAGGAAGGAAAATCCACCAGAGAAGGATAGGTTTTCCCTTGATCAAACTGCATCTTCATATGTAAGGTGATTAGCATGCCGGACAAGCTTCTTTGTTACTCTTGCCACGTACAATAAACATACATGCGAGCATAACATACTTGCAACAGACGAGCATAATGCATAACGCACGTATGCTGCATGATAGCGTGCACAATTCACACATGAGGGTAACAACAGCCCTGAGAAAAACCTATCTCACATGGCCTCGTCCTCTCTTAATATATATATATATATATATATATATATATATATATATATTGTCAAATAAAACTGCCCAGTTTTTTTCCGGTCAGGTCGAGCGGCAGTGGTCGGGGGTGTTACTAGGCGGCCATGCTGTGCCTCTAGTGCTAGCGGCGTGTCTGGAGTGTATTTTTTGGCTGTGACAGACCTTTCTTTGTTTCGTGGATGATTTGCTGGCTTGTGATGGGGTGTGAACCGACAGTCTGTAGAGTTTTCCATCTGGTGCGGGTGAGTGATAGTCAAATTGATTTTGGTTAAGGTAGATTATCATTTACAGTGTAATCAGTGAGGGGATTCTGCAGACTGTTGAGGGTTCAGCCTCCTGATGAGTCGGTGAAACTCCGACGAAACAGTTTGTCAC